GTGGAACCAGGGATTGAACTCAGGCCCTTGCACTTGCCAGGGAAGCGCTTATTCCACTGAGCTATCTCCCCGACCCCTCTCATGGCTTCTTTTATAATGAAATTCTTCCAAAATGATGTGCTGCATTTAACAAAAGCAGCACAAACACTTGTTTATTATCAACCCTCATCCCCCCTCAGCCAGCACCACTTACCTGCTCCAACACATACGCTGCACCAGAGTCAATAGCTCCACCCAGCTCACGATATTGACCGGAATACCTGATGTACCCCCAGGTGAGGAGTGCTATTAGCAGCAGTCCAACCATGCAGTTGAACAGCTGGGCCACAACCTCAAGACCAACAAAGCCAGTGAGGCCAGAGGCTATATACAAAGCCACAATGCCTGTGAACAGCACCGCAGGGGTTCGGAAGGTGCTGAAGACATTCTTGCTTCCATTGTGCTTGCAGAAGTTTTCATAGAGTTCTTTAATTTCCTCCTCCAGTTCCTGCTGATAACGAAAACTGAAATCCTTCCCACCCATCTTTTTGGTCTTCTTAAATTGGTCCAGAGCAAGCTGTCTGAATTCACAGTGCTTCTCCTCTAAAATGTCTGGAGACAAATAAGGCTTCTCTCCCCCGCAAACCTAGGAGGAACAAAGACATGCTAGGATGAAAATCTGTTCAAGAGCAAGTACCAAATAAAATAAGTGAGAAGACACAGAAAAGATTTTAAAATATTACAAGTTAACTTTTAAAAGACAGCCAAAGCCAAGAAAGGCTAGGTTCACTTCCTCTGCTCAACACACTTTTAAATACCAGGGTAATATTAATCTGAAGCAGCAGTGACACTGCAAGGAAGTCTTTGTTAGAAATGATAATAATTAGGAGACCCCAACTGCCAGGATGACCTGAAGCAGCTCTGCTGTGTCATCATCTGAGAATCAAGTTTGGGGTTCTGGTATTAGCAACAAGGGTATAGACATGTCAGAAAAAGGGATATGGCCGGCCACCTACCTCTTCCATGTTGTTGTAATAAACATCCTTGGCAGAGGCTGCAGCTGCCAAATTGTTGGCTTCAGCAGTAGCCTTTTAAGAAAGTAAAGTGTCAACTATAAATTCTCGCCTTTTAACATTCTTCTATAAATAACCAAGCAAAAAATCTTCTTACCCCAATCTTCACTGTCCCTTTATTAGCTTTCTGCTATTTTGTAAGTTTCTTTATAGTCCAACTACTGAAATAAAATACACTTTTCTACCAAATTTTCTACCTTACACATACCTATTTAAAAATTCTTTTTTGTTTTGTTTTGGTACCAAGAATTGAACTCAGGACCTTATGCTTGCCAAGCAGGTGCTGTGTTGCTAAGCTAAATCCAGGCCCCTGCTACCTACTGTTAGACCGAAGAGTTTTTAGCATAAATTACACCCTCAAAAGTTAAGGGATGGTTGCCGGGGAGATAGCTCAGTGGCATAAGCACCTGCCTGACAAGGACAAGGTCCCAAGTTTGATCCCTGGTACCACACAAAAAAAGGTTTTGTTGAGGTTTTTTTGTTTGTTTCTGAAGTGACTTCCATTTATTTTGATACATCTTTTCCCCATGATTTACAGGATCTTCAAGCCAATATAAATACTTGAATTTTTGGGTATACATCTGCACAAAACCTCAGCAATTATCTTTCAGCAATAAAACACTGAAGAGTAAAGACTAGACACAATTACTAGGTACAGTGAGGGGTCAGGTAGATGGCTCAAATTTTTTTGGCGGAACCGGGGATTGAACAAGCCCTTGCACTTGCCAGGGAAGCGCTTGTTCCACTGAGCCATCTCCCTGGCCCCCTTAATTTTAAATGTAATAAAATGATAGAAGTATGGCGCATATACTGCATAGACCATTTGCCTAGCACATTCAAGGAAGGCCCTGAGTTCCATTCCCCCAACACCACAAAATACTTATTTTTTAAAAATAATAAAACAATTGAAACAAAAAAAAAAAAAATTGAAACCAAGTGTAGCAATACCTATCATCCCAGAACTGAGGAATCTGGGCAGGAAAATCACAAGTTCAGAGCTACAGTGAGTCAGAGGCCAGCCTGGACTATATGAGGCCCTGTCTCAAATCAAACAAAAACCTAAGATTCCAGGTAATTTGTTCTACAAGGGTCAGACAAGACAAGCAAATGTTTCTAATAAATATTAACTTGATAAATGAATATGTCTTGCCACATGAGTAGCACATGATACTGCACTACATGATCACTACTGAGCCTGTGGTTCTTCCCTCCCCATTTTTCTCTCTTTTTCTCTCCCTCCCTTTCTACCCATCTGGAATTATGGGGGATCATCTCCTAACAGCAAGAATTACGGAGATCTCACCTGCAGAAAAAGGCCTCACTTCAAATGAGATTGGGGAGATGCATAAAGTGTGAGAAACAGTGCAAAATTTTTTAGAAAAGTACCATCTGAACAAGGCCAAGTGATAAATCTATTTAATAACAACTCAATGTCAGATTTCCACAAAATTCTCAAAAGGAAGCAAAGACACAGGATAAGTTCCTTGTTAAAGTTGCACAAAAAGACAATTCCATTGAGCCCAGAGATAGCAGTGATCCCCCTAGTGATAGTGAAAGTCTTCCCACACAATAAACTTCCTCTTTCATCTTCCCCACACCAGCTATGAAGGTTTGTAAAGGCAAGTGCAAGTTAATGTTTTTATTTTTATTTTGTATTTTCCTTATAGGTTTGTATTATATTACAGTATTGCAATCACTTGTATATGAGTCTTTTTTGGTTGTGGAATGAATCATCTGAGTTTCCATTATTTCTCATGGGAAAAATTCACTTTAATGTAGTGCTTTGGATTACAAACATGTTTTAAGAAATTATGCTCACAAACCAAGTATTTACTGTAGATGCAAAGAAAAGCTATGTTTGGGGCTGGTGAGATGGCTCAGTGGTCTAAAGCACCTACTTAGAACAAGCTTAGCAAAGCAAGAGACCGAGGTTCAATCCCCCAGCACCACATGCCAGCCAGCCCCGCCCCCTGGTGGGCTGAGCTGGCCACACACACACACACACACACACACACGCATAAATAAATAAATAAATAAAATTTAAAAAAAGAAAAGCTATGTTTATAATGTAAATCCCAGGATCTAGCTACCTTTGTGAAAATGTTTTCCAATAAAGATACTAACATTTGAGGCTAGATAAACTGGGATACACCTCTAATTTTAGCTCCTCAGAAGGCTGAAGCAGGAGAATCATGAGTTTAAGGCCAGTCTCATTAATTTTTTTTTTTTTTTGAGTGGGGGGGTTGTTTTTGAGATAGGGTCTTGCTATGTAGTTCAAGCTGGCCTTGAGGTCACTTTGTAGGCCAGACTGGTCTTGAACGTGTTTTGTTTTGTTTTGTTTTTGCAGAACCGGGGATTGAACTCAGGCCCTTGTGCTTGCCAGGGAAGCACTTATTCCACTGGGCCATCTCCCTGGTCCCCTAGGCCAGTCTGAACAATTTAACAAGACTTTTCTCAAAATAAGGTATCAAAAAAAAGCTCAGAGATGAACCTACCAAGTAGACACCATGAGCAATGCTTATTCTTTTGAATTAAAGAACTTTATGAACAAGAAGTCATCACTGAAATTAAATAAGATCAGACCCATTCAAGGAATAGCCCTTTATGAATTCTGTAATAGATGAATGTGTGGAGATGGGAACTAAAGGCCAACTGAACGACACTGGACTGGTGGTGATACAAGGAAATAGTATCACTTTGAAAGATTTGGGATGAGTTAAATAATGGGTGTTTGGCACAGAATTCGATGTCTCTTTTCCTACAGACAGTTCCACTACAACTGATGTCAAGTGATATCATGTACATTTTCACATCAAGCTGTTTTAATTTTTTTCTTTGGTTTTTTGAGATAGGGTTTTACATGTAGTTCAGGCTGGCCTTGACCTATGTAGCCCAGGCTGGCCTCAAACTTGAAGCAATCCTTCTGACTCAGCCTCTCAAGTACTGGGATTAGAACCATGTTCCATGCTGCCTGGCTTAAACTGTTTTGCTAAATAAGCTTGGTAATACTCAAAAAGGAGCCTTGAGAAGTTGCTAGCTGCTCAGCGGCACTGCATCCCATGATTCTACACCAAGTACTGCAGGTAAAAAATTACAAATCATATTTGGCTATAAATGCTCTCCTATTTAGCATATGAAAGTCAGAAATTATGTCTTAAGCAAATGACATTTTCTAGCTGAAAATTAAAAAAAAAAAATCTTAAATAGGTCACTTGGGACCTGTTCCACTAAAGTAACCAGAGATGACTATGAGTTCCTTATTTAACACTATGGCTACAATTCCTCTGGGCATAGTAAAACACCATTTCCCCAAATAAGTATGGCATAAAGTACAGGTCCCGTGAGGACAGGCTATTCTACTATAACTGTGCCACTATGAACACAGATGAAAAAAACCAGAGGCAGTCACACTGAGATAACTGTCCTGAAACTCCAGAGACCTCCAAGGGAAAGTAATGGAAAAGGAGAGCAAACTCATTTCCTTCTTTTTTTTCTTCTTGAGTTAGAATCTCACTTTCTCAGGATGGTCTTAAACTCACTATACAGGAACTCAGGGCACTCCTCCAGCCTCAGCCTCCCAAGTGCTAAGATTACTCTCATTCTCTTCTTGTAAGACTGTTTTATCATACTGAGTCAACTCAAGAAATTAAAGGATGTCACTTAGGATATAAAGCACTAATTTACCTGAAGCATGGATTTGGGGTGAGGCAGATCTTCTCCTTGATAAATTTTAATATATGCCTTAGAACATAAACACAAAAAGTGATTATGAAAAACACCATTCTGTCATATTTAACTTACACTTTAACTTTTGGAAATGGAACCACATAACTGCATTTTCCTAAAGACTTATATCAATAACTAGGAATTAGCAAAAACACAACACACCTTTGAGTGCACGTTAGCATTTTTAGTTATCTAAAAATGTCAAGCAGCACAAGCCTACAAAGGCAAGGGTTCCCAACAGACTCCCCATGCACACTGGCCTCACCACAACCTGTGGACAGAGACTATCCACCTGGAGGCAGTCGTGTCCCATAAAGATGCCGTCTCCTACTCACAGCAACTTCCTAACCATCTCCTGTCCACACCATCTTGCTTGAGGAACAATCTTCCTTTAGCCACAGTACTCACTCCTCTAAGACAGTGAAAGAACATCCATTTGGCTCTTAGACCCATACTGCCATCCAGTGGCCCACTCTGGGAGGACACTGATGTCTCAAAGTACCTCTTAGAAAATGTGTAAATTTCAAAAAACAGAAACTCAGGAGCATTTACAAACTAGATAAGCTTTATCAAAAATCAAACAATTTAAATATTAAAACCTATGTTTACCTTAAAATACTCCAACAGTCCCCGGCAGGTGACCTTTGAACCATTGATCTCCTTTTCCATTAACTTAGATGGGTTTAATACGTATGGTATCAGTGCCTCCAACTGCTCTTTGAAATCACCAGCAATATCTGCTCAGAGGACCATGAAGCAAGAAACAAGAAGCCAAACAGCATTATCCAACCAAGGTAAGCACAAAGCACAACCTTTACACTCTACCCAATTATTTCAACTTCGTTAGTACACAATTTCAACTGTGTTCCTACACCGTATGTTTGTACCTACACTTTTTGGCTATAACCAAGTTGCTAATAGATCTTTGTCCTAGTGCACCTTTATCTAGCTTCTTTCCTCTTGCTATATAAAGCTGGGTTCAGAATGTACAAAACATCCTCACCTTGGCTTCCATTCTGAGCTATTCAGTCTACTGGTGAGCCTTTCAAGAAATTCTACTTTTTAAAGAATGTCACTAAGGGAGGGATAAGAAGAAAGGGGAGGGGAAATAAGTAGAATAAAGATAAACCATGTACACCTAATAATAATAATTATGTAAACATTACACATACCATAACAGGTGCTAAGATTAATAGTATCAATAAGAATGAAAATCAGGACAGGAGAATTAGAAGAAGTAGGAGGGAGGAGGAGGGAGGGAGAAGGAGAAAGAGGAGGAGGAGGAGAGAGGAGGAGAAAGAGAGGAGAAAAGGGAGAAAAGAAGGAGGAGCCGGAAAAGGAGGAAAGAAAGAAAAAGAGAAGGAGGGGAAGGGAGGAGGAAGGGGGCGGGAGAGGAGGGGGGGAAAGGAACGGCGAGGAAGAGGGAGAGGAAGAGGGAGAGGGAGAGGGAGAGGGAGAGGGAGAGGGAGGCTGTAGTATGTACACATAGGGCAAGAGCTAGCTCAGCGGCACAGCATCTGCCTGGTATGCGCAGGGTCCTGAGTTCAATTTCAGGTACCACAAAGAAAAAAAGTATGTACAGGTGACTATTCTCCCAACACGACTGTAAACTGTATATACTGTAAACATGTACTAATAAAATTTAAAAAGTAAAAAACAAAAGAACTTCTTAATTGTCTCAGGCCTTTGCCGCACTCTCACATTGCCCCTTTAAAAAAATCAAATAGAGCCAGATGCAGTGATACCTCATCCCAGCTACTCAAAAGGCTGAGGCAGGAGGCTGGTGAGATGGCTCAG